CAAATGACAATACATTATAACTAATAGACCCGTGATAATGATTTGTAATGTCGATAGTGAAAATGATAATAGAGGTTATTTGTAATATGAAAGGCCGCGACGTCAAAAAGTTCGTGTTCTCGCAAATGCCCACATTTTCCAACACGCATAATCTATACTAGTAAACAAAATATATCAATAATATTAATATTTATAATTCTTAAAGATTGGCATGCACTTTTGATATACCTGTATATACTTTTGATATATCTCTGTTTTGGTTTTATGCATTACAATGCAAGTCAAGATTTTATATACAGTAAGCCTATATCAACTTCATTTGAATATTATTTCCTATGATTTACCAGCTGCTCCTATATGCAATATTGTATTTTGACATTACGCTCTCGTCCTGACATTTGAAACGAGGCAAGATCAGTAATAATGCTGTCTCTTATACACATCTAGATGTGTATAAGAGACAGGTATAAGTGTATGCATATATATATCATTTTAATGTTTTAAAACTTATCACAATAACAATGATATATTTATTAATTAATACGCAAAATACGTAAGTTTAATGATTATCCTATTGTAATTCGGAAGTGATTAACTTGAAATTGATGTATTAATTGAGATAAGTTTGTCTGTTTAGTTCTACTTATCAGATATCTTTTTATTCTATCAAACATAGTGTTTGTAAACTGACTACTAACATTTTAGGCTTATATCTTTATAGCATTCAATCATCCGAGGAATTTAAATTCGTGGCCTTTACTTTCACTGTTGTACTGGTAGGCCTACTCTTCGATTTGTTAAAGCCAGGCTCCGAAGGTGAAAAAATGGTACAACTGACTTTTCTAAGACACAAAAAGCATATTGGACGAAAAACTCAGGAACGGTTAATGAGATACAGATTTTTTTAAAAATATTTTAAACTGGGGAAAAGGGTAGAGGGGGTGGGGGCTCAGCCACCATTTTCCATCTTTTCCCCTAGTTTATAAATATTCAAAAATCTGTATCTCATTAACCGTTCCCAATTAACATATCAATATGTTTTTTCCTCCGGAGGGGCTTTAAGACGTGTGTTAGTTAAATTTATCTTTCAGCGTCTTAGTATAGGCCTATATTTATTGTTCCTTCTTTGGTAGGGCCTATTAGTGAAATAATGCATCCGTATTACAATTTTTCTAATCTTAATTGAACATTTACCGTTTTCAAATAATGTACTAAATATAAATTTTAAAAAATTATACAAAAATATCAATAGGCTTAATAAAAAAAAACTTATTGGTTGAAAAAGTGTATTGATGACAAAGACTTCATAATCTTATACCAAACATCATAAAAAGTAAAAAAAATATCTCAGTTTAAAATAAGTAATAAAACATTAAAAAAAAAACCCCAACAATTCAAAACCTACAAAATTAGTCAATAGGCCTATCGTAATTTTAGATACCATAACCTTTGGTCTATCATTAACATTGTATTTACTACATACAGTACATAACATTGATTTGTTTTGTAAATCTACGGTTGTCTACCAGTGTCAATTTCATATATAATCTTTAAAAAAGTCCCTAAAATCAGGCTTATAAGCCATCCCTTCTTATTATTCGCATTTTGTTTCAATATTTCTTATAATTTTTATCGTCTTCCATTCTTCCCCTTATACCGTACTCCATCCATCCATCCATCCATCCATTCTTCTTCCCCTTATACCGTACTCCATCCATCTAGTAGCGTTCACTACTCTCCTTCTACTATTTTTTTTAATTTTTATTTTTATTTTTTTTTGTATTCTAAGGAACATAGAAGACGGTCAGGGTTTAGAGCACCCACAATGCGGGCTGGTTGTCTGTTATATTCGAGGGTCGTATAGGAACGTCGTTGTGATGCAAGGAGTCTACAGTATCGCATTTGTACTATATTGAATCTTCTAATCATTCGTCTCATTGCCTGTCTTTGCACTTTATCATTCTTGTGATTTTATATATAGGGCCCATATATAATATAATATAATATAATATAATATAATATAATATAATATAATATAATATAATATAATATAATATAATATAATATAATATAATATAATATAATATAATATAATATAATATAATATAATATAATATAATATAATATAATATAATATAATATAATATAATATAATATAATATAATATAATATAATATAATATAATATAATATAATATAATATAATATAATATAATATAATATAATGATGTGTATAAGAGACAGATATATATATGTGTGTGTGTGTGTGTGTGTGTGTGTGTAAACGTTAAAGAAGAGGAAACTGCAAGATTCTTAAAAGATAACATACACGGTAGGACAACAAGTAAAGTTATGTTAAGACCCCATAGGGCTTCATTTTCCCTATGTTTATTTAGGCTTACAGCAACTGTGTACATACCCGGATTTACATCTATCTGATACTGGAAAGATAATGGAACAAAGTCAATGAAGGTTAAAATATACAAATTTGTTTAACGTAACTGACGTTTCAATTTGCCGTATGAACCATTAATGATTAACTAAATAGAGACTTTGAAGGTTACAAATTACTTCTAAACAATAAAGGAAGAATAATTTTGATATTTAGTTTACAGGTAAATTCGGTCAGGTATCTCTTCAGGTAAACTATGTATATTTGTTTGGCGACACGCGGTCTCTTCTAATGACACTGGGTGACCTCGGTCAAAATGATGACGCAATTTTTTTGTTTTCAATTCTTTATACAGTATGTGATTTAAAAAAATATCAATCCTATCAAATATTGAATAACAAGTAGAATATATAAACACTCAATACAAGATAATGTAGCTGTAACGTGTAAAATCAAAGTATTGAAGTTTGATTATCGGTTCATATTTATATAAAATATTATAGAATTAATAAAAACAAAGATACGGTATACATTACATAAAACATGAATATATAAATACAGTATAGGCCTATATAATCATATAATGTTTGAAACACGTATAATGATTTATAGAGATCAATTCAAAACTAGTACAAACTAGCGAATATTTGATTCATTTTCTGTAAAGTGGGGTTCCACACCTCACATGTACGGTAATTTGCTTTTTGTTGAATCTCCTTCATTCGTTTTATCCTGTATTCCAAAGTTTCTAACAGTGGAAATACCCCACTTCTCCACAATTCTTGAATCGAGTGCGCTTGCTTTTATTATAATTTGAGAAGTATGAGAAAAAGAGTGTTTTATTTTCTATGGTACATCACAGTGATTAATTAGATCTCTGTAATTACCGAAAATCGTGTTGTTTAGTGCTGATTGCAGATCTTCTACATAATTGCCATATTGTTAAGCAATCAAGTTTAACAGTGTTTTTATTAATTGCTTTCTTGGAAATAAAACGGAAGGCTAACGGTTTGAAGCAGTTACATTTGTCAAGTTTTTTGCAGTCACATGGGCGCAGATCAGATATATTAAACATTGTTTGTAGGCTTAATAAGAAATTGCAGTGCAAGACCATGAAAAACCGCGTGAGTGAACCTGCCAATGCAGATCACTAAAAGTGGTGGATCTAGAAATTCGAAATAGAGGGGGCCCTGGGAGGGACTTTCACAGATGGAGGGTCTACATCACCCCAGCCCCACCATGGCTGGGTCTGAGGTAAAAACATCTATGATTACGGCACATCTAGATGGCCGGGAAATGGCATTCTCAAACACAAATTTGAAATTAAATTTCTTTATTTTTCCTCAATTTGCTTTTAATTTTGAAAATTAAGGAGGGGGCGGCTGCCCCACCCCTTTAATCCACCACTGACTAATTCATTAACTGAGCTAAAAATGGATACCGTATTTTTTAACAAAATGAAATCTTTTATGACCAGCTATTTTACAAGGCACAATGACGAATTTTAATATAAGAGTGTCATTTCCTGTCATCCAGAGGTACTATTTCCTCATATTTTCGCACCTCAAAACCCCAAACCTTGTAATATACAAAACAAATATGATAGGAAAAATTGTCGCCCTTAGAACTTTCGTTCACAATCTAAGAAGAATATCTATTAATATTATTTTCTATAAATATATAACGCATAATACAGTACAATATTCGTAAAGTCAGACCCACATTCATCAATGGTTGGAGGATTATTGTATGCTATTACAGATAGAGGGCCCACTATAAGAAAGACGTTCTAATGAATCACACAGAGTAGAGTTTCATATTCGTCATTGAACCAGGGTGTTTTCATAACCCGTGGCGTAACGCCTATGCGCTTTCGCGCGGCGGTCCGCAGTTCCATCCCCCGCCCCATAGGGCGCCGAAAGATTGTTGATACATAACAGCATAATTTGTCTCTGACATCGATTGTAAGACATATCATCTAATGACGGAGTAAAGGGGGTGTTGTGGGAGGGGGTAGCCGGTTCGCCCAAATTTGTCAACATTTAAAAATAATGGAGATAAAAAGATAATTATGTTCAAATTTTAAGTCTATGTGTGCCATTTCCGGCCATTTAGAGGTGCCATAATCATAAATTGTGTTACCTCAGCTGAGGGCTGAGGTGCATAGACCCTCCATCTTTGAAAGTTCCTCCCTGGCCCTCCCCATTTCGAATTCCTTGATCCGACACTGATATCATTTATTTCGTCGTTAAAACGTGTAGAATGACAAACATGTGAAAACGAGCACATCTAAAATCTCACAATCTTATAAAAGGCTATCCAGAGCTTCTGGGGCCTCGCCCCTGGACCCCACCGGGGCCCCGGGCGGTCCCCCTGGCTCCCGCCAAGTCTTGGAATTCGTCCACCCGCCCAACTTTTCGCAACGGATCAACGACCTTGGACCTACTGAGAATTTTGATTTGAACTTGAAACATTTCACTGTGTTTTAAGTTTGTAATCCAATCCTTTGTCGCACGCTGTAACTCCTTTTGGTGAAAGTTTTCTCCACTAGCACATTCAATAGAATTGTAGTATTTCATTTAATTGAAAGAATCACTAGCAAATCAGAATTATTTATTTCAACATTTTATTCAAAAACATTCAACATATATAACAGAGTCGACAACGAAATGGTTAATATTATTTTAACAACATATAATAATCTTTATACCTTGATATTTTACATGAACGAATAATATAAATAGTCGTACAAGTCTTGTAGAATAATGGTAAAAACTATAGGGAGTGCATTGTGTGCAGAAACATTTTGTACAAAAGTCTCCAGTGATGCCTGTTTATGAAAATAGCATGTACTGTATGCTTACTATAAAATATCCACAGGCAAAACGTTTGGTACCGGCATACTGTTTTCAAAAGTTAAAATATGCTTAATCGTTGAAGGCTAATCGTTGTAGGCCAACTTAGTATGTGGAACGAGTGAATTTCAAATTAAGGCCTCTACAGATTGGTAATAGCATTTCTGATTAAAACCGTGTTCTTGGATCATCGCATTGAACATAACATTAATGAATCAGCATATTTAATATACTTAAAACTCTCTCATATTTACATATATATACATAATTTGAAACGCATTGGGCCTATTGTATTCATTACGTTACGTATTAAATCAGAAGAGAAATTGATTGATTAGGTTATATAAGCATATATATTTCAGCTAAGGACTAGGCCCGTTTACACCTGGCCCTTTGCCACCTGGCCCCTTGCCACCAAACCGTAGCCACCCGTCCTCTCTTGAACCCGAAATATTGGCACTCGGCCTCTTACCATCTGGCCAGTTGCCCAGTTTAATAAAGAATTGTTTGTATTTAATAATTGTATTTTTGTGTTAAGAGGTCTACTTTATGTATTACTCTGTCGTCTCAGTATGGGCTATTGTCATATATTTTCTTTTCCAGATTTACAGTTTTATAATAGGTTTAATTTAAAGCAGTTTCCATAGGTTTTCTAACTGTAGGTTCTGGTACGTTTGTTGCCTGGTCACTACTGTCTCCTGATTCGCTCTCCCTTCGGTTATTGTCATGGTTTTCATTCCGAACATCGCGGTGGTACGTCGACTCTAACTCGTCAAAGTTCTGTGGTATAGGTGTACTCAGTGGTCGGACAGGGCGATATGCTGTATAAAAAAATAAACAAAAAACAATTATCATACATGATTATGAATTTTAACAAAGTAATAGAAAAGTAATCCAATTAGTATACTTGCCAGTTTATTATTTGTTTTCAGATTAATTCTATTTCAGATTATTTTTAGTACAAAAGAAACATTATCGCAGTCGTGATAATTTTAAAGACAGTCATTCAGTGTCAGTGTTCAAGCTAATAAACTTGAACAATAACATTTAATATTTTCATTGCCTAATTCGTATAATTAAGAACCAGTAGGCCTTTACTAGAAAAAAATCATGTTTTCCTCGCAAATTAGGCCTAACAGGCGAATTTTTAATCTTTGCTTAACCATAAATTGACTGGTAATCAATGTCCGTAGGAAATAGTCCGGGAATCAGGGAAATACGATATGTTTCGATCTTGAGATTTGGGGTTTTTCAGACTTTATACAGACTTACATTACAGATCTTGTTAGAGGGATTTCTTGGGCAGCTCTGGCGGAGAAGGACACGAAGGACCTCTCGGCGACGAGGCTGTAAAGTAGTAAGTATACAGACTTAATCCGATAAACTGGGTTTATTCGGTTTTATTTTAATTTTTCTAGCTACCGTATCTAGTGTTGTTCGATGCCATGCTTAATTGTAAATGTTGTTAATTTCAATGTTCATTTGCTACAATGTAACGATGTATTCTTCTTCGATAATGATAGTCATTTTGAGGTAAACCATATATTTCACATTTGCAGACTTTAGTTTAATTAAGCTTTTATACTCCTTTTTTCTGGCATCTTTTTTCCGTAAATTATATCAACCATAGCCAAATGTGTCAGTGCGGTTCAGTTAACTGGACAAGGAGTTGCTAGTCTATATGAATCGAAGGATTGGGCTTAGTGTACATATCACATGATACTGTCTTCAGTAAGGAGAAACATTTTAATCAGTGATATTTGATAATAAAAACATTTGAGAAAAAACGTATAGTGTATCCTAAATTTTATAGTTGGAGTGCGCCCTCACCATCGTTACAAAAATTCTGCATTAACGAATAAACCACAAATATAAGGGGACAATGGTTAGACAAAATATGTATTTGAAATACAATTATACCTTAACATTATAGAACATCTGTGATGCTGATAATGTGCAGACGACATACCATTAAAAAGTTACTATATTTTGTTGAACTGAATTAACAATGTTATCAAATGTGCCAATTTATGAATGGAAGCTCACTATGTGAATCATCAAGTCAACGTGTAGGTTTTTATACTATATATAGAAACCAACAACCACATGCACAGTTATTAGAAAAGCTACTTGCACATGCTAGCACCCCGGCATGCACGTGAGTTGTCTGAAACTTTCGTTTCTCCAGTTAGTACGGCCCTCTGGGTCCAAACGATCGGCGGTTGCTGTAGGCCTGGTTCACCCTCATGGTTTAAAGTAAACAAATACCGTAAAACCTCGAATAAAAACACTGGGGTTCTTATTTTTTAAGGACCCTAGGATGGCTTCTTTTCGAGATGGACCTCTTTTCGAGAGATTATTTTTGCAAACTGAAAAGTGGGGGAGGGGTTCTTCTCAAAATGAATGTTGTCAATTTTGATACAGTATTACTATACGACATGGAACTATGGAATTCGAAATTCTGTTTATATTTTTTAAAATATTAACCATGCTAGTACAATAAAACTATTCATACTAACACGCTATAATAATAATTGAAGACAACGTCAGTCTAAATGTAAGTATCTCCCATAGGCCTATTAGGAATACCTTGATTAGAAGTCCATGGCTTCTTTTCGAGATTACGGTACTTTTGCAAACTGAAGAGGGGGGGGGGGGGGGAACTTATTTTCGAGATGGGCTACTTCTCGAGATTAAACTCATGGGGCTTCTATTGGAGATTTACGATAGATGGTCGAAAAACCAAACAACCAAGACAAGAGGTACCAGATTATGATTTACAAGTCGACCACATTTTAAGCGTCTGACTCTCAGACGTGTCCACGAATAGGCCCTAAGCCTAGTTGAACACGCAAACTGTGATTCAATTCCATGCATGCAAAAAACATGCTAACTTTAGTCTTATTATGAATGCGGTACTTGCATTGTGAAATTATTTTAAAATGCACATGATGGATGATGGTCTTAAATTAAGAAAAAAAAAAGGTGTGGATCGATCTAGGAAAGTTCTGATTGTAAAGTAGCCGTATTTACTTTTATTTATTTATGTCTGTCTCAATAGACACATTAAAGAACAGCACTGTTAATGCTCTTAAATTTGTTTATTATTTTTAATGTAATCGTGGGACAATAGCTTGATTTATCCATGGCACGTGTCTGTTGCCATGCTCTCAGTCACGGATACAACTTGTTGCACATGCAAAAAGTAAAGTAGTTCCACGATTCGACTTTATCATGTCTGTCATTATGAATGATGTTGCTATCACTCGAGAGATGCTCACAAGCACTAGTGCCCAGCCCAAGCATGCTTAGCCTATACATGCGCGATCCAAATGCATCCATTTCATTGCAAGGCTAAAATACCTTGGTAACTTCTATAAGCACTGTTATGCATATCTGCATGTACAGTTACACGGGCACCCCTCTCAAAGAATGGAGGTCTTGTTGATGTAGAAATATCTTGTTCTGAATCATCAGCGCCGTCTTGACTGACAAATGTTGAAATTACCAAAATTTAAAAAAATATATAAATATCTTGAACTGATACCGCAGGCCTACACTATGTAATGATTAATAAAACCGGGGTATAAAATAGAACATGCAGGCTTGTCATCGGAATTTTGTTTAGAAAAATATAATTCGGGAGGAAAGAAATTCCCCACGATTTTAAATTGATAAAATAAATGTTTTGCTACAAATATTATTGACTGGTTTAGTTGCTGGACGAGTAAAGCAGAACGAAATCACAGGCAGGTACTGGTGCATGATGCAGCGGTGATGTCAGGCGAGACGCGAACAAGAAAGTGAAATTAATGAATAAGCAAAGGTTTGGTAATTTACAGTGTAGGCCTAAGTGAATTTCATTTCTATGCACCATACAGAAATATGAGTCATATTTCCGGCGATTTGAAACAACTTAATCACAGGTTATTGCCTGATGTCAATACCAAGATTAAGGCCTTTTCTTCGAAATGTTATTAAAAAAATTATAAGCCTAGTGTATATAAATTGTGTTGTGAACAAATATATACAATAAAGTAACTTAAAAGAGTTTGTAGAGATACAATAAAGTAACTTAAAAGAGTTTGTAGAGTGATCCGACGATAAAAAAGAAACTACATCCACGTCTCTAACACCAGTTGGGTATATGGGAGTGCCGAGGGGGTGGGGGCTTACCCCCTCCAAAAATTACTCGACTCCCCTACTCGCCCCCAGAATCACTTGCCCACCCCATCAGCACCTCCATTTCAAGACTTCTAGATACGCTACTGTCTAACACAGATAAGTGAATTGGTTTTTTAAAAATCTTGCAGATATAAGACAAAAGTGGGACTAACTTATTTAGCATTAATTTAAGGTTTAACTCCTTGATTATCAAATCACAGATGTGATTCAGAAGACGAAGCTGTTTTTTCATCAATGCTTCTTATAAGACTTCTTGAACGTGACGTGATGAAAAATCCAATTTATATGGACATATCAATAGAGATTTGTGACAAACCAATAGTTTACTGTATACTAATAAGAAAATCAACACTGGCCCCCTGAAAACGCTTTTTGTTCGACATTGAAGTATTATTTACAGATATTGAGGAGTACAAAACAAAAATAACCTAAGTTCCAAAACAACTATGGTTTGGTACCGATAATCGCATCAATTCTGTAAAGATATACTTTTTTTCAGAAATAAAGTAAACTATGTAATTTAGGCTTATTTTCTCACGTTTTTGAACTAAAAAAAACAATAGAAATATCTTGTTTTTAGAAATAAGATTTATGACTCATCTAACCTTCATTAATGATCCTCGAATCATGTTACCACTTGAGACTTACTCAAGCCAAAATACTATAGGCCTAATGTGTAACAATTCTGAATACAGGACTTGAATTCAGAATCAATATTGTGCGAACGTTTCTTCAATTGTAAACACTCCTGACAAGTCCCTGGAGGGAAGCAGTCCAGACACAACCGAAATGGATTTATTATGCTTTCAGTTTGAAGAAAAAATTCTATTATTGAAGCTTTAAACAGATTTCAATCTGAATAACGCGTTATAATCAAAACAAACGCATTATAATATTGAGTAAACTCGTATAGTTTTTTCAATTAGAGATGTACTGTAATTTTCTAGTCTGAAAATGAGAAAAAATATCAGAAAAATAATTTTGAAATTAAGTTCCTCATTTTGCAGTAGCATACAAATTATTCACTTGAGCACAGAAAATATAAAAAAAAATGTTTATCCTGATTTGAATCTATGGGTTAATATCTTTTGAATATCATACTTCTATGTTCAAATTGATACAGTATGTTACTCCACAATGAGCAATTTAATATCAAAAATGATTTTTTAAATATTTTTTTTTGTATTTTTCATAGGGGCAATACATCTTAAATTAGGCTGAGAGATTGAACACACCTTTTGATGAGTGGTTTTATGAGTAAAACAACTGATCCTTGGATAGATCGAATCTGCTGGGCCACCTCTTCTGCTTCTTGATCCAATATCTCGATTCCATTGACGTTGAGAATTTCATCACCTGCGTAAAAATGTTTATAATTGACATTGATAGGGGTGGATGTATTAGGGAAACACTGTGTCATTACCAAGGTTAAAGCAATAACACCAACGAACGAATAATAATTGATAGCAATACAGAAAATTATTAAGTTGTAAAACTGATGATAATCAATCAATCAATTAAATTATAAGGCGAAATTATATATTATAATAGAACTATGACATATAACCTGCACCAAAAGTGTTTTTTTTTTAAAATTCTATTTCTGTTATAGAGATCTAAAGAGTGAGAGTGTTAACGCATAAAGTCATCATACAATTTTGGATTATTAGCAATAACAACCTAAAACTTATTGAATTTAGAAATTGAAGCATACTTGCGTTCCATTAAAAATGTAGGTGGTGCGCTTTATTGGCCTATATATATATTTTTTCCACTGTTCGTTTTCTCAATCGCATTGAGCATTTCTTTAAAATGGATATGAGCGCTATACAAATCTTATATTACTATTGTAAAATGCATATATTTAAACATAAATTTTGATATACCGGAGCCTACAATAACAGTCAGAGATTTAACTATAGACCTACGAATATCATGGGCGGTCCAGAATTTTTCAAACGAGGTGGGGGGGGGGCACAGCAGTTTCAGATAGATTAGCACAAAACATTGATATGCATTGAATTTTTAGTAGCAAAACAGGAGGGGGGCACGTTCCCCTACTGGATCCGCAACTGAATATGTTTCATTTGTATATGCCTAATTCCTGTATTAAGCACATTTCTGTCCGTACAGACACAATCTGGTAATTCAACCCGAAATAAAATAGAGTGAGATATACCTGGTTGTAGCTTTTGTGTTCTCTCAACTGGTCCGTCGGGCAGAATTCTTGAAACAACAATACATCCTCCTGCTCGTCGAATCGTAATACCGATTCCTGAAACAATTATACAAAACAATAAGAAATGATCCGATGAGAAATGTGAACATTATGAATAAACAAAGAGATCAAGTGTATGTACGTTTATCAGTCATTGTCAATTAATAGCAAAATAATGTTACGCTTTTCAGTATTCAAAATAGTCAATAATAAAAGTTGTCATAGGACCCCATTGGAATTAAGTCTTATGATTTTATGGCCTTTCCTGGCATCTTTTCTTCCTTTTCTTGTTCTGCCTTCTATTTTTCTCTTGATTTTATCATATTTTAAACAATTTTTTATATTAATTTTTGACCTAATTGATCGTATTTGACACCTTTTTAATGTTTAATTTGAATTGCATTCTCTTGTTGTACTTCAATGCCAAATGAAGTCAAGTCAAGTTAAGGCCTACATAAAGGAAATAAGCTCAATCTTGCTGCTTAAATATAATCAATTTCAAAGGTAAAATTACTTGATTTCATGATTGGTATGCGACTTAATAAACGAATAATAGGCCTATATGCTAAAATTACACCAACACTACAGAAAACGGGTATACACCAGGCAAAAAAATAAATAAATAAATAGCAATGCATAAGGTCTAGGCCTACAAGTCAGCAACAACAGCACCAGATGTCTGAAACTGCATTTTCTGACATTTTCAGGGAGCATTTTACATGTGCCAAACTAATACTTCTTAAATTTAAATGTAATTTTTGCCTCATCAAATTAAATTCAAGTGAAACTCTCGGTTTCGTACCAATCCCCGACCCCCTGTTTACGGACCTGCTATACTGTTATCGGCAGAGGCCTGAGTGTGTTGTCACTGACAGATCGAGGGGGGTAAATGTGCACAGAAACAGGTACCGGTACTGAGTCATACAAAGCTATACGATCATTGGTTAATCTAATTAGTATTCACCTGTTGATTTACCCACGTGATGTGCCACATAAAAAAATCAACTTAATTTTCCAATGTAGTTTTTTAATGTTTAATCACTGGAGATAGTGATCAAAATTATTAAGGAATAAAAACTTGAGCTATCTGATGTGAGCTCAAGAGATATTAGCAAACCTCGGCAGACCAATTCGGTTTGACGGACAAGCCTATGAGAACTTTAGATAACTCTTTGAAACAACAACTGTTCAATTTATAATTTTCAGGCAGATGTTATCTTCAATCGTCAACGGAATGTAAATTTCATAAATTACTTGACAACTGATGTTTTGTTCGCACCAAATATCCGAAAATGTCGAATTTAGCTGTTATGTTAGGCATATTTATTTCTGAATGTTGTAGCAGCTAATGTTCTATTGATTGTATACACTGCACAATGTTTCATCAATAGGCCTGTGTCAGATCTTGTAACTAACTGCTTCTGCTACTACTTCTACTGCACAAATATTACTTCGTCTAATTGGGCCACTTACAAAACACCATGCAGTTTCTACTACTTATTAGAAATACCACAAGTACAGTTATTTTTTGAAATCTAATCTTATATGGTAATATATTATATTATTACAACAAACTACTACATTGACAGTAGATCTGCTAATTGAAGGCAATACCATTAATCATTTGGAACTTGTGGATCAAGGTTGGACACCCCATTTTTTATATAATAATTCACATATTGCAATTATAATAAAAACCGTTAACTATTTCTGATATTAGGTAGGCTATACTGATGACTTACCATCTCCATATTCAGCATCTTTATCTAGTATGACCTCTTCTAAGTTCTTTGGATTCTTCTTTAAATTGTACTTCGTCGCAATTAGAGACGTTTTTGTAGTAAGTTCTCGTCTGAAGTCATCTCTGTTCTTGCATGCGACCACTGCTAGTTGTATTTGGATTAGCCAGTCGACATCTTTTGAAGGAACCCGTAAGCCTAGTCTCTGCATCCGTGTCACCAGATCAAAATGGATATGCCGTCTGCCTTTCTCAATTTTTTCTACTGATGTTACCTCCATAAGAGAAATCCTATGCGAGTACTCTGTATCATCTGACGATGCTTTCTTGTGGAGAGTTAAACTCTCAGCAGTCAACACGCAGAATTTTGGGCGCCAACTACTGTTCGGTAGTTTCTTTGAATCTCGACGTTTCTCAATGACGCCATCCTTGATGATAGCTTCTTTTGTGATCGGGTTGGAGTTTCCATCAGAGATCGTCTTCATCTTTCGATTTATATCCAGATCCTTGAAAGCTTTAAAGTTAAAGTTTCTGAAGACTGATTCCAAAGTCATGAGTGCTTTTTGTTGGTCTTGATACTATTTCGAAGCTTTCAGCCAATTAAAAAAAGTAAGCCAATTGCCTGATATGACACAGTATGTCTTGTTATAATCCTATGTAGGTACTTAATAAACGTCGATGCTTTAAAGTCACACGTTTAGCCAACTGTTCTGAAACAGTGCCAGGCAGAGAGCCTTTTATACATGGCTTTCCAGGGTAACCGCTCGTACTCGCTTGAATGACTCGATCCGACCTTAGCTGTTACTCAAAAAGGAAGCTCTATTTCCGGCTGAAATTAATTCAATTTTGAAGCACAGAAAATGTTCACGAAATGTTGTGTCAAGACTCCTAAATCACTTAACATTGAAATTAGGCAAAATATATATATGGGTGTCATTGCACCCTGATTTAGTTGATATCGTTAAACATGTGAAAATAATCTAACATTGATTATCCCAAATGTAAATGTTCGCACTATGTATTATTGTCACATGATTAATCCAAATTATTCAAACAAGTCA